TCTGGTTCCCCATCATCAGTTAATAACAAATAATTCATATATTTTCTATTAGGCACATGTGGTCGAGTACTCCTTCTTAGTGTAGGAGTTGGACAAGAAGGTTGTTGTATGTCATTTGATTGCGATGTACTGCCCTGTACAGTCTGTTCTTCTTGTTGCGGAGTACTTATGATAGTGTACTCTTGCATCTTACTGTCTGTGACATAATCTTCATCAATGAATGTAGATTCTTTTTGATTTGTTTCATAACTCTCAATTTTATGCCTATCTTTGTACATGACTCTCTCATTGAAAATTACATCTCTTGAACGAATAATCTTTTTGCTTTCATCATCCCAAATGCGGTATCCAAACTCATCTTCGCCATAACCGATAAAAGTGCAAACTTTTGATTTAGGATCAAGCTTATTTCTGCCTTGATCACTAATGTGCACATAAGCTACACAACCAAATACTTTTAAGTGCGACAATTTGATCTCTTTGCCGCTCCATACCTCCTCTGGTAATTTGTACTCCAATGGGGTTGATGGTCCTTGATTGATCAAGTAAGCTGCTGTATTGACTGCTTCTGCCTAGAATTGTTTTGGTAGACCTGACTGTATACGAATGCTTCTGGCTCTTTCTGTCAATGTTCAGTTCATCCGCTCAGCTATGCCATTATGCTGAGGCGTACCTGGCACAGTTCTTTCCATCTTAATACCATGCTCGTAGCAAAACTTCTTGAATTTGGTGTCCTCATATTCTCCGCCATTGTCGGACCTGAATCTTTTGATCTTCAGACCTGTTTCATTTTCAACCCTAGCTTTCCATATCCTGAAAACTTCAAACACTTCGGACTTGTATTTTAGAAAGTAAACCCATACTTTCCTAGAGTGATCATCAATAAAAGTCACAAAGTACTGTTTTCCACCTATAGACTGGGTGGTTGTTGGTCCCCACACATCAGAATGAACAAGCTCCAATTTTTCTTTCATTGGAGTTCTTCCATATGTCTGAAAGCTTACCCTCTTCTGCTTTCCAAGTATGCATTCTTCACACATGTCTAAATTCACATATTTTAGACTAGGGAGTTTTCCAATTGAATGCATGATCTTCATTCCTTTCTCACTCATGTGACCAAGTCTTTGGTGCCATAACTTGGAATTTTCATTCTCTGTTGCAAATGCAATCGAATAACACGCTCCAACTGTCAAATGGAGAGTACCATTCTTTTTACCATGAGCAACTATCATTGCTCCCTTTGAAATCTTCCAATTATCACCTTGAAAGATTATAGTGTAACCTTCACGAGCCAACTGCCCAACTGAGATCAAGTTCTTTCTTAGTTCGGGAACATGTTTGACATCCTTCAGCTCCCAAGCTGACCCATTTAACTTAATTTTGACATTACCTTGACCAACAATATCACAAGGTTGGTCATCACCAAGGTTACCTGTCCAAGGTTTCTATGGACATACTTCTCAAAAAAGTTTTTATTAGAAGTAGCATGGAACGATGCTCCAGAGTCTAATACCCAAGACTCTTCTTTTCTCTCCAATGAGCATATCAACGCATCATCACCTTCTCCGGTAGAAGTGACATTTGCCTCTGCCTTCACTTCTTTGCCTTTTGGTGTTCCCTTGCACTGATTTTTATAGTGCCCAATCTTTCCACAATTCCAACACTCCACAGTCTTTGAGTTTTGGAAATTATTTGGATTCCTGGATTTTGACCTCCTATCTCTGGATTGTCCTCAATAGTTTGATCTTCCGCGTTCATTCCTTCTGATTAAATTTCTTCCTCTTGACTCTGTATGCAATACTGAAGAGGATGAAGATTCACCTGATTCTCTTCGTCGAATCTCCTCACTAAGAACCAGATCACGAACGTCATCAAACTTCAACTTGTTATTTCCCGATGAGCTACTCACAGTTGTGACTGTAGCATTCCAACTATCTGACAGGGAAGATAAAAGTATTAACGCTAATACTTCATCATCAAATTTGATTTCAACAGAACACAATTGGGTTGTGACAGAATTGAGTTCATTAAGGTGTTGAGCTACCGATCCACCTTCCGACATCCTCAAACTAAACAACCGCCTCATCAAATGAACTTTATTGGAGGCTGATGGCTTCTCATACATATTAGAGAGAGCTTTCATGAGACCTGCCGTTGTGGTTTCCTTTGCAATGTTAAACGCCACATTACGTGATAACGTCAATCGAATAACTCCGAGTGCTTGTCTATCTAAAAGCTTCCATTTTGCTTCTTGCATGCCATCTGGCTTTTTCTCTTCCAGAGGTTGATAGAGTTTTTTCTGGTAGAAATAATCTTCAATCTGCATTTTCCAAAATCCGAAATCTTTACCATCGAATGTTTCAAGTTTAACTTCTCCTTTGTCTGCAGCCATTTCTCCCACTCAAATTTGACTTTTTCTTTTAGGATCGTTTTTATTTTTATCGTAATGTGGACTAATTGTCAACCAAGCTCTTGATACCAATTGTTAAGAAAATAATGCAAATTTTCTATTTAATCAAATTTGAGGGAGAAATAAATTACATAAACAAAATGTCTATTTATACCAAAGTGCAAAAAACACAACCCCTCTTTTCTCTGAGTTATTTTTCTTCTCTCAGATTTTCTCTTGAAATTATTACATACAAATGAAGGAAAGCTCAATTTATAGTTTTCCTAAAACAACCTAAGCCATTTAAAATTTAGCCTGCAATATTTATTACCATTAGTTATTTTTCCCTATATTTGGAAACACCTTTAATTTTCAATGGTAATGCATGGTTATTTAATAACCATTTATTTTTTTTCTTTATGTTTCTTAATTATCTGCCAACATAACAGAGAATATTAAAAGAAATTAATAACAAATGAATCGAATTGAGTAACACAAATATGATAAATAAATTAAATATAATGTGGGTATTGAAGAAGGAAGAGGAAGGTACCAAAAAGGAAACAATGAGACCTTTCTGATTAGGGATGCTTTTGCCATGTCTAAGAATCCAGTATTTGTTCTTCAACAATGAAGAAGAAGCTGCCATGTCCCCAGTTCCCTTCGTTTTGTTTGCTGCTTTGTTTTTCTGTCGCTGTGTTGTAAATTATGATCGGGCTATAGGTGGCCATGGGCCGGGCGGGTGTTTCGGGTAGGGAGTTAAAGTTAGGTCTGTTCACTGATCGGATATCCGATCCAAAATGTGACTCGGATATCAGAAATTGTTATCCAAATCCGATTTGAAAAATTTTCGGATCGCATGCTTCGGATATGCATTATCAAATATTAAGTAAAATTGATTATGATTACTTTTTAAATTTCACTAATTTTACCCTTAAGTTGTACAACATATTTTAACAAAATAGTAGTCCTTTTACAATAAATATCATCATCAAATATATTAAGAATATTATAGTAAGTTAATATAATATAGGGTCAGTTTTATATCAACAATTTAAAAATTATATATATATTTCACTGTTTTAGGCTTTATATTTAAGATATCGGATATTTAAAATTTTGAAAATCAATATCCAAATCCGCATTCGATATCTGCTTTTTCGGGTCGGTTGCGGATCGGATTATCGGATTTTCTGATTCTCGGATAGTTTGTACAGGCCTAGTTAAAGTATAACACTTACAAAGTATAAAAATACGGAGAGAGAATGCATTAAATTATTTTATTTATGTCGAGCATCAAGCCATCAATAATATGGGTAATTTTTTTTTTCTTTACTAAATAGATATTTAACGTATTTTTGTTTTAAAAATATACTACGCATTTAGTTTAATATATGTTGGGTGATTGGATACCCAACCGATTCCGGTTCCAAAATACTAAGAATTGAAATTGAAATCAATTGCAACTGGTTCCTTAGTATATTACCCGTAATTAAAACCAACTGGTCCAATTTCGAACACGCCAATTCCTTACGTCGGGCTCCCAAAATTTTTGCTCATCTCTAATTAGTAGTTACCGCTACACATACACCAACAACAATTAGTTATTTCCAAAATGTCATTTGCACTAAACAATTATGACTTTAAAGTTGAGTTTCTTTTATAATTATTTGTTCCGACCTTAGCTCGTGAGCACAAGCGCACAGCGTATATAGTGGGATTTCAACAATATATAATACATAGATGCAAATATGCAAATACAGCCTAAGGCAGGCCGTATTTATTAATTAAAAAAGAAGCTTTTGGTCATAAAATAAAATTAAGAAAGAAGCTACTGTTTATACACATTAATTGAAAAAAAAAGCCTTATCAAGAAATAAATATTGTTTTAATTTTATTTATACTATGGGTAATTAGACTATCAGCCATAATCCCTTTGGATTTTTAATACCCAAACCTTAAGAATTTTTGGTAAACAATTGAAAATTAATGTTCTATAAACAATACACAGTATATAATTTAAGAATATTAGCTATTCCAAATTTATGCCACCTTATATCTTGTCTGAGTAAATCAAAAAAGTTTTAAAACAGTAATTTTAATTAGCACAAAACCAAATTAATTAACATCACAATGGTATTGCATGGACTTTTTAAGAGGATACGAGGAACAATACAAAATGTTTTGTCCCAAAGTAATTATCATATTCGACATCTTAAAGCCAAATTTTGTGCATTTCAAACTTGAACTTAAACTATTACATGCAGAGTACTCCATATATAAATACATATATATGTTGTCAAATGGTATCTTGATAAATTTGTTTCAAAGTATTATCAACAAACCTTTTTCATAAAATTAATGGACATAAAAGAAATTCAGTTAACTTAATTGATCGATTGAACATAATTCATAATACAGAGAATAGTATTTGAAATGTGGGAATTATTCAGTCTACATGACTTAAATCAAGGAAAATGTTATGTTACAAATATGACTATATCAATTTATTATATTGACTTCTCAGCACTTGACATTTTTTAATACCACGTATTAGCAATGATGTCAAATTTATTTATTTACAATGCTTTTTGATGTGCCAAAAGTACCCTACTATCAAGTCTATAAAAACCCACAGAGAAAACTAGTATACATCATCAAAATCGCATTAATTTAGCTATCTTCAACGAAGCATATACACTTTTTCGAGTCAAGCTCTATAGTCTTTGTGTAGTTGAGGTAATTTCTTCATTTGTCTATCTATCGTATGTTCTTTATTACAATTCCGTTTTTTCTTTTTTCCTACAAATATATATATTATACCCTTTCGTTACAAATAATCATAAACAGATCATAGGTAATTTGTTATATAATGAATAAATAATAATGCATGTATGAAATAACGTTACAGTTAAGCTAAGCTAAGGAAATGTCAGGATCATCAATTGAAAGTGAGATGATGAAGGGGGAAGAAGTGCACCTAAGTGAGATGATAGAGAAAGGAGAGAGGTGGTGCCTCGCTGAGGATGTCGTAACTAAATCCGTTGCTGTCGTTGCTAAACAAGAGGGCCTAGACAAGAATGAGGTTTCATTAAGGGGTTTGACGGCTTTAGCAGGCACCTTGAAGAATTTGACAAAAGGACCCTTGGAAATTACTGGTGATCATCATCTCAAAAAATGGGATGGACACTTTGTCAAAAAGTGTCCAAGTCCTCTTACTAATCTAGGTTACTTTGTACAAGCAGCCATCGGGGCTAAGGGAGTCGCAGCAGGGGTGCTGTATACGGGCAAGAATCGCCGTGGTGATCCTTGTGGCTGGCTTCTTGCTTGGTCAGACTCCAAGGCCAATGGATTGAGGGTAAGACACTAACGATTAGACATTTTCTACTCACACTTTATGTCAAATCGTAACTTAATATGTACATGCATCTTGTTTTTTTTTTTTTTTTTTTTTTTTTTTTTTTTTTTTTTTTTTACGAGATCTTGTTAGCTTATCTTATAGGAGTACTTCATCAGCTTATTTTTAGTTGCAGTATTTTGACTTCTACGTTTATTATTGGTCAGATTTATGCAAGGTGTGGCCTTGAAGCCAAATTCAAGAACCTCGACTGGGACAAAGATATTAAGCCCAAGTTAGACGTTGCTGGTTCCTCGGTTAATGTTAATGACAGTGAGACCGGAACCTCGGTGATTGGAAAAATAGTTGGCTCTAGCGGCAAAGATCTACTTGTTGCAGCCTTTGACGGTTAATATTATGCGTATATCCATGTTTTACTGTTTTTCGAGTTGCTGGTCTGGTTTGTAATAAGAGCTTGTCAAGCTCACTTTGTTGCATTAACTGTTTTTGTCCTTCTTTAAATTATAATTGTAATTTCTTTGACGACTTTGAGTTTTCCTGATGTCAAAAGAAATATAAATAAAATTACTAATAGTAATTTAGTAGATCGAGTAGATCCTTTATCGATATCGATCATCTACTCCTTTGCTACTAAGCATTGTGTACTAAATTATTGATAATAATATTTCAGTTTTCGATTCAGATTATCTTATAATCTTGTAAGTCTGTAACTATCTTATACTCCTGTAAGACTGCTGTGGGTCAAGAAATCAATTTTTTTCGATCCTTGGTCCGGTCTGGTCTTAACCATATAAAAACGGGTCTTAGACCTGATCTTTTTTTTTTTTTTTTTTTTTTTTTTTTTTTTTTTGCTTATAACTATTCTTACAATCTTTAAACATAATTAAGAATATTCTTAATAAGTTAGGAAAACTATAGATGTTTGAGTTTTTTTTTACTTCCTCCATATTTAAATTATTGGTCCACTTTTCTTTAGCGACCATATTTAAATAATAATTGCCCATTTAACCTTTTTTTTTTGTGAAACTTTAAACAATATTCTACTATTTTCCTCCCCACTCGTGATCCCATTATATCATATCTTAATTTTTTTTTTTCAGGTGCTCCCTCCTCTAGGAATGGCAACGGATCGGAGATGGAGCTTCACCCGCATCCACCCGATCCACCCGTCACCCGCAAAATCCATCACCCGCATCCGACCCATCTGTCATCCGCGGGTGAAACGGGTGGGTCAGATGCTTAGCGGGTGATAATTATAATCCCCACTCTAACTATCTAATATATTATTTATTAAAAAAAAAACCTTTTATTCAATGTTAAACTTGAATAATAAATCATTTATTATCTTCTAATTCCAAACTTTAGCAATAATCAAACACAAAAAAAAAAAAAAATACATGCAGAATATGCATAGGAGTAGTACAGTATATATTAGATGGGGGATTTTATATTTTTGTATAATAAAATATAATAATTTTTACAAACAACTTTGTTGTAGAAATATATATATATATATTAGAATATATAAGGTCAAAAACATAAGTATATATATATTCGGATGGATGGCGGGTGATAAACGGATGATGGATTGGGGTGATGGATGAAACGGAGCTCCACCGAATCCGACCCGATCTGTCGCCCGCTTCATCCATCACCCGCCTTTCATCCATTTAACGCAGATTTTCGTCCGTTTATTTTATATCGGGTGGATCGGATTTGCGGATATCCATTTAAAATTGGCATCCCTACTCTCCTCCCCAGTTATACTCACTTCTGGTTTTTCAGATTTTTCTATTCTTCAACTAACCCCATTTCAATCATAAAATAATATTTTCTACTATTCTTTCTAAAACTCCGTGTTTAGAGAAGTGATGCAATTAATTAGATACAAAGGGAATGTCTAATCGTTGCAAATAATATGAAACGGAGGTAGTATATTTTTTAGTATTTCATAATAATAATTAAATTTTTTGACAAGTATAAGAATGTATTCTAAAACCGATCCAAACCTTAGGCTACTCCGCAGGTCAGCGCTTGAGAGTAAAGGGGGGAGGTAAGGGAATCCCTCGTTTCCCAAGCATTTTGAAGTTAGTAGGGATCGAACTTGTGACCTCAAAATTACAAGATGAGTTCCCCACCAACTCCACCAAACTTTGTTTGGTGTATTTGATGGTTATTGTCTATTAACTTTGAAAGTTTGAAATCATCTTATTTTATACTCGTACAATTATACTTCGTAAAACATTTCATTATAATTGTGTTGGAAAAATATCGTTTGCTAATTTGATACAATTATTATAAGTACAAGACAATTATTAGAATACCAATACTGTTTGGTTGTTTCAATAGTATTTAAGTTTAATGAAACATTACACAATTACGTGAATTCCAGGCATTTTACTGTGACAGCGCGCGTATATTTGAATGATTGTTCAGACTTGAAAATTGTTGAAGTCGTTTTATATTTAAGTAAGCTTTTATGTTGGATTTCAGGAAAACACCTCAATCTGGAGTGTGTACCATTGATTAATATATATAGAGTGTTACAATTATCGTAACCCTCGTACAATAAGGATACAGAATATCTACAAATATTATCCTAATCTGTGACAAATATTATCATACTATAATATCTATCACACCTCCGCAGTTATAGCGGGAGGAGGTCGTACGCTAAGACTGGATCTAAAATCCAAAAATAAGTCTCGTGGCAAGCCTTTTGTGAAAATGTCCGCAAACTGATATCTAGAAGGAACATATAGAACCCAAAGTTGACCCAAAGCAACCTTTTCTCGAACAAAATGAATATCCATCTCCACATGTTTGGTGTGCTGGTGTTGTACCGGGTTGCCAGAAAGGTAGACAGTACTGACGTTATCACAATAAACAATAGTAGCTTGTCGAAGAGGGCAATGTAACTCAAGTAAAAGATTACGGAACCAACATGCCTCAGAGACAACATTTGCGACGACTTAGCAGCATTGAGTATTGTCTGCATTTGGAGGGGATCACCATGGCTTACTATCAATATTGCACATCTATGAAATTTCTGAGACTATTAGTTTCATATATTTGTATAACCCTGAAGTATAAACAGTGACTTATTATATCATATAAGAAATTGAATTCAGCACTCTAAGACGCTATATTCAAGCAAATAATACTCAATTAGTGCAGATTAATAATTATCCTCTAATTAGATATTTAGATCCAAACGTTCGTTCGAAAGTCAATTACATCCATTTACTTAGAATAATTGCAACAATCTTATTTTTTTTTTTTACCCATTAAAAGTGAAATATGTACTATTTTAGAGGTGAAAGTGAAATCACTAAATTAAAGTGTACCTAACATCAATGAGACAATGAGAGAAAATGAATTGAAGTTGGTTGAGATGAGGATAAGTAACAAGTAGGTGTGTGATTGGAATTATAAGCAATTATAAAAATATCTTATCAAACTAATATTTACGTAAAAGTGGTCCCTTTATTTTCCCTTTACAAAAATAAATTCCAAGTGACTCCACTAAAATAAAGTAACGTACTAACAAAACGTTGATACATGTATGCATGTGGTATAATACTTCCTTCACCGTAACAAGTACGTATACTTTTGTACGTACATTCAATTATTTTATCTCCCCTGAGAAAAGTTGAAAAAATTAAAGATTTAGTTGTTTACTTGTTTAGGTTCATGAGCATATGCTGCATAGCTAGTTAAAAGATAACTCGATCGTATGATATTACCAATCATATCGCCATTGTATTAAAAATACTTCGTAATTTTTTTATCTTTTTTTTTAAAAGCTTGGAATTATTATTGGCAAAGTGTTCTAGACAGTGGTGAGTCTTGTGTGTGAAATGTCTTGTGCATGGGCAAAAAAATTGGAATTAAATTATGATAAATTAGATAGAAAATAGAATTGAATGGCTTGAATTTCTCATTGATCGTAATGTCAAATATATAATAGTTACACCTCTTAACAATAGAATCAAAAGATATGCTAGAATCCTAGGAAGTTAACTAAAATACAATAGATAATATTTTTCATATCCTCACAAAAATATATTATACGATATCTCATTACCCCCCCCCCCTCAAGTTGGAGGGTGAGGATTGGAAACGCCCAACTTCGAAAGAAGATAATCAAACTGAGATTTGCCGAGAGCCTTGGTGAAGATATCCGCGAGTGTGAGTTGGTTGGAACATGAGAGGGAGAGATCAAGCCTTCAGTAATTGTATCTCAAACAAAGTGACAATCGACTTCAATGTGCTTCGTTCGTTCATGAAAAACCGGGTTCTTAGCTATGTGCAGAGCTAACTCACTATCACAAAATAATTTAATTGCCTTCGGATGCTGAACACCTAGACTCAACAGTAGAACTTTTAACCATTTAAGTTCACAAGTAATAGCCGCCATGGACTTGTATCCGGCTTATGCCGATGATGTTGACATTGTGTGCTGCTTTTTAGTTTTCCATGAAATAGGTGACTTGCCAAGAAACGCTAGCCACCCAGACAAAGACCTCTGTGTAAGAGGACAGGCGGCCCAATCTGAGTCACACCAACCTTGCAGATTTAAGTCACAACCAGAGCTCAAAAGAATACCCTGTCCCGGAGTGCCCTGTAAATAGCGCACTACTCTCAATGCGCTTCCCAATGTTCACTACAGGGTTCTTGCATAAACTGAGATAGTATGTGAACTGAATAGGCTAAGTAGTCAGGTCGTGTTATCGCAAGGTATATCAGATGACCAACCAACCTTCTATACTGCTCTGGATCTGAAAGTGGTGCACCACTTGCTAGGCCAAGCTTGTGATTTTGTTCCATCGGAAACCCACTTGGCTTTGCACCCAATAAACCTGCTTCAGAGATGATATCCAAAGTATATTTTCTTTGACATAAATAAACCTGCAAAGCTACAAGCAACCTCGATACCCAAAAAATATTTCAAAGGACCAAGGTCCTTCATCTTGAAACAATCACTAAGATAGGCTTTAAAAACAGTAAGTGCAGCGAAATTATTCCTAGAAATAATGAGATCATCGAAATATACTAAGACATTTAATTGAATATTAGTCTTAGTGTATGTAAATAATGTATAATCAGAGTATGATTGTAGGAAACCATACTGTTTCAAAGCCTTGACAAGCTTTGTGAACCAACATCTGGGAGCTTGTTTCAAACCATATAGAGACTTGCGTAATCTGCAAACCAAGTTGGGATCCTTACTTTCAAACCCGGGAGGTAGCTTCATGTATACCTCCTCATCAAGGTCACCATGTAGAAATGCATTATGAACATCCATTTGATGGAGTTCCCAATTTTGCGAAGTTGCTATGGCAAGAACAGTTCTGACTGTTGTCATTTTGGCCACCGGAGCAAACGTCTCATCATAATCAGTGCTTGCTCTCTGATGATTACCAAACACAACCAAGCGAGACTTGAGACGCTCAACATTCCCATGAAACATGTCGATATGGACCCCATAAATCACAATGAATTTTTTCAAAAATTCTAGAAGCTTTATTGTCACTTAGAGGAAATTTGTCTCAGGATGTTGAGCACGAAAATAAACTTCACATCCTTTTGCTAAACTACTTTTATTATTGCTAATATGAGGAAGCAACTTAACTACTTTTTCCGAAGGATGCCCCATTCCTCTATGCCAAAGATCCAAATCAGATGACGCTTCAATCGATCACAGATACAGGTTGCACCACATCCGGTTTGTTAAGATAATAGAGTCTATCGCGCCTAAGTCCCGTTCCAATCAGCTCCTTCATTGGGTCCTGTATGGCACACATATGTGAGTTAAATTGTATAACAACTCTTAATTGATCACTGAGTTGAGAAACAAAAATTAAATTGCAATTCAATTTTGGGACATAAAGAACGCCAGAGATAGTAATTTTATCGAACAAGTAAACCGAGCCAGCCAAAGTTGCGAGTACACTTGCACCATTGGGCAAGCCAACAAGGCATTCAATGGCGTAAGTGTCAAAAGCCAAGATTTATTTCCGATTACATAGTGAGTAGCTCCGGTATCGATAATCCAACAAGTATCATCAAAGTTACCATTTAGCCGATTTTCGGGAACTCTTGTATTACCCATAAGACCGGCCAAAGCCTCCCTACATGGAGATTGATGGTCGGGTTTTTTTCTAGTGGCGGCAGTGGTGATGTATCATCGCCGGCCATAAATGTTTATTGAGGAGAAAAAAAAATAAATTAACTTGCTCTTGATACCATTATAAATTAGATAGAATTATTGAATGGCTTGAATTTCTCATTGATCTTAATGTTAAATATTACACCTCCTAACAATAAAATAAAAAGATATGCTAGAATCCTAGGAAATTAACTAAAATACAATAGACAATATTTGCCAAAAGATATCATCACAAAAATATATTATACGATATCTCATTAAATTATCATTAAGAATCGGTAAATTCTTTTTATTCCTAAAATAGAATGTATGTATATAAAAATTGCTATACGATTTATTTTTATTTATTTTTTGGTACGAATTACTCCGTATATGAAGCACAAAACAAAACTATAGGACAATAAAAATGTATGAGAAAATTTCCATCAACAAAAAAGTGTATGAGAAAAAGTGAGTTACTTATGTCATATTCATTTTCTCCACTAATTACACTTTCTAAAATTCAATGAAAAAAGTAAAGCTTAGAAAGTAGTCACTGCCTACTGGAGTACTGGCATAGTGGCATGGCTCAACCAAAGTCCAAACACAGCCGCCTTTGTAGGCGGAAATTTCAATTTCTCTTAATTACAAGTTCCTAAATTTATTAAATTGGAAATAGTTTTCAAATTACACAAAACAATGAGTATAAAAACATTGCGTCAAAAAAAAAATAAAAAATAAAAAAGGAAATTTTGTCAAGAACTACCAATTAAAGCACGTGTTTTGGAAACAACTATCTATTAAAAATTTTTTTTTTTAAAGAACTACCACAAAATTGTAAAAAGTTTAACTGCGCTACTATTCTAACAATTCCGGTTAGAATATTCGGCAGGTAGGTTCCACTTTTTACCTTTACCTCATAAAATCACCATCTAAATTGACTAATTACCCTTCATAAAGGTAAAAGTGGTAAAATGTGAGACCCAAATGCCGGAGATTCCAGCCGAAATTGTTAGAGTGGTAGTGCTTGTTAAAGTTTTTACAACTTTGTGGTAGTTCTTTAAAAAAAAAAAAATTAATAGGTAGTTGTTTTTAAAACACGTGCTTTAATTATTAGTTGTTGACAAAATTTCCAAAAATAAAAAAAAAACGGAAGATTTTCTTTAATAAAATTATTATAAATGTAAATCGTGTATATCTTGTTGGTTTATCAATCTATCACTAGATTATCTTATATATCGTCAATTTCTAGTTATTTAAATAAATCATTAAAAAAAAATTAAGAAAAAAAAAATCCACTGAAAAAGTAAGTCACATAAACAATCAAATTTGATCAAGTAGTGTTTAAATTTACTATCTAGACATCAATTCCAAAACTTACAAGCCTCAAAAGCTTATACACGTATTATACAAAGTACGAAGTATTTGTTACACTTACACCCTTTGAACTTGTATTAATAAACATTTTAAAACACTATGAAACAGTACATTTAACAATTATAATCCATCTATACAGCATAATATTGTGCTACTTATCAAATTACATATGATTAAAAACTTACTACAATTATATGTAGGATTACATGAACCAACTCAATAACCACGGCAGTTGTAGCAATAACAGCCCGTTGGGGCCCACCTTCCGGCGGTACATCCACCGTAGGACTTTCGACGGCCTTGGAAAGAAGATATGATTTTAACGGCGAATATGATGAGTAAAGGGGTGATCAAGAGCAACCAATTAAATTCAAACTCGACGGTCTCAGCAACTTCTTGAGAAACAAAGTAGAATTTTATGCCAAGAAAAAAAGAGATTAGTAAGAGAATTAGGAGAACTGGGTAAGGAAGAGGTCTTAGAGTGAATCCATCAAATATAGAGGGAGTTCTTTTTGGCGGATATGCATAACATTCATGATATGAGTAGTTTACCATATTTTCCTTTCAAGAAGAGCGGTGTTTTTAGAGAGGGGAATTTCTAAGAAAAAGATTGGGATTGGGATTATTAATTAAGGTCTATAAAGTTATCCACGAAGATGTCAATTTATTGTGTTGCGCGTTTGTGTTTAGGATTATTTTTGAGGTGGGGTCATCATGACGTATATTAGAAGACCTCAAATTCTATACAGAGATGATAAAATGAACAAAAAAACAAGGGTAGTTTTGTAATATTCTTGGCTATTTTGGAGTTATGGAGATATTTTTGCAAGAAAAAAAAAACAGGGTTTGAATAATTTTGTCACTCATAAATGGATTTTCAATAGTGGGGCACTGCCGACCTGTGTAGTGTGTAGTGCCGTGGATATGGGTTGATGTATTGGGCTAAAATGATTGGACTTCAATAGATCATTAAATTAATATATGTGCCACTATTGTGTCACTATTAGTGTCATTTTATCCAATTGGATTACCTATGTAATTAATGTGAAAACTATGGTATCAATAATCTGCTAAAATACGTGTAACAATGTGAAAATGTTTGTGTTCCTAACTATAACATCATTGAACTATTTTCCTAACACCACCCCCTCCCCCCCCCCCAAACTCTTTTCCCACGGTATTGTTCTCGTTGAGACAAACACAGCTGGCCGTCTCTGCTGAATCTGTTCGTTGTTGTGGACCTGCAGTGCATCAATGAAGACTTTGATAAGAGAGCTGATACTGTGCATTTCTGTTGTCGCCACAAGATTTGTGTGCAGGCGCATCTAGTCTGCATAACGCAAGGCTTCAAAACTGTAGCCGTAGTATCATGTGAACAACGGCAATCATATTAGAGAAGGATAATGCAGAATGCTGTCTACTTCGTCACACTTTTCCTTCATACTGTTGACGTTTGTGATCATCCTTCAAACTTGCCAAGGTGCTTCTGCAAGTACCCTCTGTAACAAAAAACATCATCAAAGTCAGACCTTGGAAACCACTGGGAATTTATCCATCACGATTGATTATGTACTTATGCATTGTCAATTTAAGAAATATACGCGTTAACAAATTCAATTTTTTATTTTTTTTTTGAAAAAATCCTCCAACTATTTATAAGAGATTAACATACAGATACTCTGTATGTATGTTAGCAAGGAATTTTTCAATTTAGTTGGAAATTTGTTTCGTATTTTGCTTAGTTGCTTACCTCCAAATTTAGTATGAAGATGCTGAAGGTCGTCCGCTGAGCAAACATCTAGCAAAGCATAGATACCTGGCCTAAGGGCTTCATCAACTTCCCTAAAATTACATAGAAGAAAAATTGTAAATTTTTCGTACAACTAACATAAGTAACCATATAATACTCATCAGAAGTCTAAAAAGAAAAATTACCTTTTGATTCCCATTTTCAGTGGACCATAGCCTGAATAAACCTTTATGTATTCTGATAAGAACATAAAGCAGTGTTGACCTAAATTATCCTTCTGCTGTCCAATCTACAAAAAATGATACACAAGACAAAATATGAAATTAAAGAGGGAGTGTAACAGAATCCAGTAATTAAGGTTCCAAAGTCAATATTATATAGATATGTCCATGAGAAATTTAAATAAGATTTATGAACTGCTATCAACTCGTACTGACAACAATGTGCATCAGTAATAACAAGGCCAGAAGTGAATTCATAGGCCTCTAATGTCCTAAAGAAAGAGTATCTTATGGCTATAAGCATGTTCACCATTGAAATCGTATTACTTAGCAGCGACCAGCTCCAAATGTAGTAACTACGAGAATTCTACTAGGACAAAGTACCAAAAAAACATATCCAGCTGAAAGCTTTTTAATTCCCTGAACTAATGTACTGCAACGGTATTAGTTCCAGAATAAGTACCCAAAGTATAATGAAATTCTAAATTACCAACTGTAAACCCCTGGGCTTGAGAAGGCCCTGTCTAGAAGACAAGCCCATCCTTCGGAGGTGATTGTAATATTGTCCGCTTTGTATTTTGTTCACCATAATAAACTATGATAGAGAGAAGTCAGAGAACTTATGGACTGATAGAAAAGTGCATGTCCTCGGTATAAAAGAAGCCATGTCTAGACCAGTACACTTCTCATGTAAAAAATCGGTCAAAGGACCAACTAACCATGAAAGAAATTCAACATGGAGATATCAATGGAAATTTGGAAATATTGCAAAGAATTTGGGTTTCAACTAATTGCAAAGAAGAAACTTTAAAAGAAACATCAATGTAGATAATCATGATTATCAAAATGAAATGAAAGGCAGATAACAGCTGTTAGCTTAACACATACCTCTTCATAAACCCTTCTCAGATAACTGGCACATTTTACACCATCTTCCAAAACCCAAGTAAAGTAAGCCTTTCGGTCTTCTGAGTCAAAGTTAATAATCTCCAGACAATAGAGGAGTGCTTGAAGTGAAATTTGAAGTTCAGCAATACACTGTATACATTCACTAAAAATTTACAATATGGTTAGTAGACATACATACATAAGTTGCTGAAAGCAAGAAAAATGTTATTAAAAAAAATAAGAAATATATACCTATTGCGGTGTTTAACAACTGTCCACAACAAACGGCAAGATGACGCATATAAGTTAACTGAGAACTGCCTGTCAACCAAAAAGTAACTTTCAAGTTCTTCACACTCTTTGCCGTCCAATCTAATGGAACTTTGATGAGAATCTTTGCCTGCTTTAATGAAGCAAAAGCCTTGGAAAAGTGCTGCTGGTATACGCAAAGACTGTCTCACATGATGGGAATCTAGGTGAAACTGAGAACGTTTTCCAGAAATCCTGGTTAATACCTCAACACACATGAGAACCATGGACCCTGAGTCAGGATTCTTATTTACTGCAATACTGTTTGGTTTTGTGTGGAATACTGAGGGCCCTTGTAGGTGTACAATAATATTAAATAATGATGAAAAAAGGCTATTGATCTGCGATCTAATGACATTCAATTGGTTTTTCCCTGCAACAGAATCAGACATCAATCATGTTACAAGTACTAGTCATTGCATCAACATATAAGCATGTTTAAACCAAGCTATCTGAAGGATTTAATAAACAGGAAGTTATAGCCATGTTCATGTTCTGTTCATATAGCTAAGCAATGCCTATCACCAAAATATTAGCACTGATAAGAACGTAAAACATAACAGGGCAGAAAAGAGTGACACGATTTGAGAAGTAACAGAGCTTGCATCAACTGTCTGTATGCCTTCTAACTGTTCAGCTCATATTAATAACGAATACGTGAAATTTGATTTTATACAGGCTTTCTGCTAATTCTCAGAAGAACAAATACAACCAAACTTCTACTAATTTAGCAGGTGAACTATTTACATACCTTGCAGTTCTTCATCGGACATGCATTACTCTCCTCACATTTTTATTACACTTCTCCAACCCATGTTAAGGTAAGCAAACATTTTAAGTGAAAAATAGGGCCATGACAAGTAAACAACAATAAAAATAAAAAAAAAATAAAAAAAGGTCTTAAGTATTGTAAAGGCATTATATAAAAATCAACTTACAAAGCATATTAGAATAAGTTTTGAACAGAGTACCTTTATAGAATTCGAGAAGCAAGTCCAAGCAATCAACAGAGCCTGCAACCATCGCAGAGACTCTACCTCCGGCAGTACCTTCTTTCTTTACCTCATAGATTACTGGAAAGCCTTCTCGTAGACCGAATAGTGCTCGTTCTAGAGCTTGCAAAGCAGATAATAGGAGTGGTTCCGATGGTTTCTCAATGAGAGATTTGAAAGACATCCTCAACCTTGCTTTGAGATTGTCTAAGCCGTAGAGAGGGTCACTGACAGTTGATTCATAATCTCGTCCTTCAGTATATATCTTGGCACTTGACCCAATATGGGAAGCTAACCTAGCTCCTTTTCCTTGTAAAGAACTGCATTTGCCGATAGCTTTTAAGTGCAACTCTACCAATTTGGTGTAGACATTTCTAGTTGCGATGGAACTAGTTGATGCAAATAAACTCCCTATTGCCTCCAGAAACTTAACAGAACCATCCAACCAAACAAAAGAAGATGAACTCGGAAAATCAAGCATTTCCGAAAATTTTGTCAACGATACTTCAGAGCATCCAAGAAAATTTTGAATCAAGTTAGCCGACAAGGAAGGAAAATCAATCAGCACGCTTAGCCTCACAATTGCTGAAGAAACAATAAATAAACCTCTCAAGAAAAATGCTGCCTCTAGATTCTGACCATTTAAGAAGCTCCCCAACAAATCAATTTTTAGACAGTTGTAATTGAACCAGCTAAATTCTGTCAGAACGTTAATGACAGAGTGAGAATTATCTGACTTCAACCTTTTCTTCTTTCGACTAGAAACAGAACCATTTGAAAGATCACATGTAGCTAAGGTCGTCAACTCAGAACCTGAATTTCCAATTTGATTCTCAAGTTCAGTATCAATTCCATTCTTAAGCTGCCCCTGGCAATCAGACATTTTGATTGGGTGATTGTTGTGAAGAAAAATCTGAGAGGATTTAGCTATGAGCTCCATAACAAGATTCATAAAACTGACTACTCTAGTCATGATGTTATCTTTACTCTTCATCACTTTTACTTTCAAATCATCAACACTTGCAAGTGTATCATTCAAAGCACACTCCAATCCCCATAGCAATCCTTGAATGCAAGATATAGCAGAGGACAATTTACTCAAATCTACAGGTCGACCATCTACCTCCATACCTCCATCACAGAAGGCCTCTTTCAGAGAAAGAAGGGATTTTTTTGTCTCTTCCTCCAATGCCTCAACCATCATAATCACACCTTTGCAAACTTCGACATCATTCGATAGTTTCTCAGAAAAATTAAATTCATTTGAAAGATAGTCATCACAGTTAGAACCAGACTTTCCAGTGCTTGTGGGACTGGCAATTGAGTGAATTGCTGTACAAAATTGGTGCTTGCACAGAGTGACAAACACGTATGAAGTCTGATCCCTCAGTGAAACAGTCAAATCACTACAGTTACTACTGTTCTGTGATGACAATGTATTCCACCATGTACTGACAATCTTCACAGATTCCAACAGCCAATGAATAGATGATGGAACCTCTGACAGTATTGGAATCCTTGTGGGATTACAAATTTCTGATTTATCAGCACAGAATGCCATTAATACATATTTTAAAGCTCGGCGACATGAAACCAGTAGTCGAAGGAACTCGTGATGGTCATGAACATACGGTGATCTGTGAGTACCTAGTAAGCAGCCAATTATGAGCCTGGACAATGAAGACACATTTCAGATGAACTAGCAGTCACAGGTGAGATAAGGTTGAGAAATTAAAGGAAAGAAAACAAGAACATCAAAGAGTAATAAGGAGACTGGAAAGGGAAAAAAAAATCAAATTTGGATTGGTAACACATAATTTTGCAATTTACAACCCAAATAAAAAGGGAGGGGGGGGGGGGGAGTAGACGTGAGAAAGAAAAGTTAAACGTAACATAACCTTTCAAAGTTGATTAAGTAAATCACAGAGTGTGAGAAAGATTTGAAGCTTAATGTAATCTCACACATCTTGCACAAGAGATTCAGCACGCTTTGACAACCAGCAAGAGGGTCATTGGTTGGAGTAAATGATGTTCCTTCCTCACTTTGTTTATTGACTAAATCACCATGACCACGACAAGAAGTAATCAGTTGGTCCCTTGCAAATAGGGCAGAGTTCTGAAGCACGCCCAGAGCATTGGTCCAATCAGAGGAACCAAGTTCAGCACCAGTGTTTGTAGAATCATTAAATAACCGAGATATACACTTCTTTAAAACATGGCAAACCCTCGATGGCATATACCTGCGCACAAACTAGTAGAATAGACCATGATCATGTATTATCTCAAACCTATCACTTAGCACAAGATAAAAATTGATAAGATGATATGAGGTTCAGGCATCAAGCAAAATTGTACAACTTGGAGATTAAACAGTAAGAGACGAAAGGATCAATTTTTGTTCCTAATTAACAGTATTCATCAGATTTCGGGAGTAAAGAATCTTTCTTGATGAAGCAGCTGAGGTATTGAAGATCAACCTCTCATCTTTAAGATGTTTACAACTCAGCCAGAACAATGATTTTCAAAGCTGAAAAAAGTGATGAATATTCTACCACCCAGGTCATTTACTTACTTTGTTAAAGTTTTGATTCTTACAGACATTGACCTCCAAATCATATGACCCTCCAATACTGATAATAAATACAAGCATCTATTAAATATTCCTGAACATATAAGACATTATATAGGTAGAGACAACCATCCAGAGACTTCCACTGAGATGCATAGGTCATTTACAGACAAGCATGGCCACTTAGGACAATTTACTTGGGATTCTCTCATCAACATCATGTCTGAGGAGTGAAGACAATTTATTTTGACTTATAACCAAACGTAAAAAAAACTCTCAAAACTATTTTTGGTTTTCATAATTTTATCTGTAATTTTCAAATAAATACAGAAAACTGAACCAACAACGATGACATAACATCAGTAAGACATCCTCAGATCTCCAGAACCTTGCCCAAATTACCCCCCAAAAATAAAAGAAAGCGATCAATATTGATGCTTCTTTTTTCCAGTCCCAGTCTATTTATGATTCGAATTAGATGTTACATTAGCAAGAGACTTCTAGAGTACACCAAATAATTGCCTGGCCACCCACATCAAAACCAATGATATAATAAGGATGGACATCATACTATCATAGGCTCTTAGCACTTAATCATTAAGTAGGAAGATAAAACAGGCAGGAACAAGCTGAACGTCTCCTTGTCAGACTGCAACACAACAGTGGAAGCGGTTGATGCAAATTCCGTAAACAAAGATAAATGTATTACGTAAAAGGAAAGTAGGGAGTTTCTAGGAAATTCCCAGGGAAACAGATTCCTGTTCTAAAAAGAGAAACATATTGGCGGGCTGATCAACCTATTAGATAATGTCATTTGCCAAAATATAGATATGTGGTGCCATTCTGCTACAAAATTCCTTACAAATGACTAATAAAATGTGAGCTACCATTTAGGGACAGGGAAGTAATAGACGAATAGATAGAGGAACAACAGCTGAAGTCTAAAGTAGGTCAGGTTTTTTATTTAAAGAAATAAATAATCAAATTTACAAATTAATTAGCAAGGCCATGAATATCAATAATCAAGAAGAATTGTATTGGATCTTACTCTTTGATCATAGAAACTGGTATCACGAAGAAGTTCCTGTGAAATTTGATGCTTGGTAACTTTCATTGCCTCGCCAGCATAATTTTCATACTGCTTCTCAAACTCCCCAAATCTTCTATATGGAAGTGAATTCAGTATTAAAAGTGAAAGGAACAACTTCAACTTCTTCTTAGTAGCATAGTGGCACCATATATCAATATTGTAGCAAATAATCCACCAGATTGCAGTAGGTAATGTCTTTTCATTCACTGTACAGACACCCAAATCCCAAGAGTCAAAGAGCACATACTGTGGGGCTGGACTAGCTGTTCCACTAGGAATGAAGGTAGGCTGTTGTTTCTCGTCCACTGTGGAAAGATATTTCATGATGAAATTCGTTAGACCAGCTGTTTCTTGCTTTAAAGCCGACAAAAAATTCTCCAACTTCTCTTGTTTTCCTTCATCTTTACATAGAAGTGATATATTTGCATCATCCGCCAATTTGCCATTTCTTCCATTCTCAATACACCACAAACGATACTCCACACAATGAATTTGCCTACTTAGATCAACAAGTCTTTGTAAAGCCATCATATGCATTACATAAATCAAACAACAGTAATCTGTGGAACCTTCTTGGAAAATATTATTCCTTATGTGTTGCATGATACTAAGAAGAGAAACTGAAGATTTGACCCAAGAAAAATATCCTTTATCTTTAAATTTCGTCCTCTCCATACAATTTTTGCCAGAATAAGCTGTATAAAAGTCAGACATAACTTTTGACATCTTTTTTGATGAATCAGGAGGCATGAGGCTCAGTGTTTGGCGATATAAGCTACGACAGGATACATACACACGAAAGAAGAATTGGAGATACAAGGGAACTTTATTTAATAAATCATTTTTGCATTCCACATTCTTACTTTGAGTTATTCCCAGCACTGAGAAAACAAACTCATCAGAACCATCTTGCTCCAGGGTAGTCAAATGCCTCATGCTGGGACGTAAAACCACTATCAGCTCCTCTATAGACTCCCCCATACGGTAACTGTAACCGGCAGAAACTGAGAGTGAATCCAGGACTAGAGTATAAATTTCAGACAAGACCACACCCAAAATTTCTGCTTGAGCGCTGATTCTACAAGAATGAACATCTCCAACTTCATATTCATCTACCACAGAATTGCCAACCTTCATCCACTCCAAACAATCCAATATGTCAGCAGACAAAGTTTGAACAAAATCAACAGCCTGACCTTCAGGTATAGATTTAATCACATTGCAAATAGCCAGCCTAAACTTTTGAGAAAACAATAGCAAACAACCTGATTTGGCAAATTTATCATAATGAAGGGAGGAGATGTCAACATCTCCTTGATGAAATGATATATGCCTCAGTCCTTTACACAGTGCAAAAACAGCACAATCCACCTACATAATAATAAACCATCAGACCAATCAATGGAACATAAAATGTGTAAAGCTGTAAACACTATTTGTCCTCAATTTTAAAAAAAAAAAAAAAAAAAAAAGAAAAGAAAAGAAATACTTATATATAAAATTGTGCTATTATGTGTTATGTGGCAAAAGACAGCAATTTAAACGCACGCAGCCTAATTCAAAAAATCCTGCTAAAATGCCACCAAGTACTGTAGGAACTTGCTAGGATGTATTAGGCGGGAAAAGACAGCAGTTTCAAACACAGCCAGCATAACCAAAAATAAATAAAAAAGGCTACAAGGATGCTACCAAGTACCATAAGGACTTTAGAGAAGATGGAACACTTCAAGCAGCCATTGCAACCAGATTACAATAACAATAATTAGGGGGTTTGGAGGTGGGGAGTAAGGCCAATTCATCAAAAATGACCTATTATAAAAATGAAGAGCAAATTTGATCTGTCAACTAGAAAGCTTCAATTCACATTCACATAACTCTCTGTCAACAAAAGCAAAATGTTCAGTGAAACTTGCACTAACCTGGCGAAGCTCGCTATAGAGATTAATTAGTCGGCATCCAAGGTCAACAGTCACTGGAAACAACTTGCAGGGTTGTGACACATTTTCTGAAGAATGTTCTGATGCTAAACAGGTGAGAATCATAAGCCATATGCTAACCAAGTCATCACCAATGACTCCATACTCAATATCAATGAAGTTTCCAACTACAAGAATGAACTCTTTGGCCAATGAGTTCAATGTTTCAACTTCCACAAAACTATCTAAGCTCCATGTTGACAGAAAGAATTGATTAAATTCAGCATAACACGACATCAATAGACCATAGCTTATCTTGAAGAAATTCAGACAAGCCCCTCCAGTACTATCCTCTGTTCTAAGATAGGTGCTTTCACACACCATGCTAGACAAAATCTTATTTACAGATTTGAGAGTGTGGTAAAAATTCAGTAAGGAGGTTCCAGATTGAAGGTCAGACTGGAGATTCCTACTAAGATCAAGTAACAACGGCTCCATGGTAAGCACAAAGAAATCGAAAAAACGACTTCCTTGTTTCTGAGGCAGAAGTCGAAGAAGTATGACTCTTCTCTGAGGTCAAATTACTAGCCTTTGAAGGATGCTTTTTATCTTGAGTTTCAATGGTCCTCAAACTTCCAGCATCCTGCGAATCCCTCTTCAATTTTTTAACACTAACAACAAACAAACGGAACAATTCCCCTATACCAGACAATGCCTGTGTCTTTCTCTCAGAAACAAGATTTTCCACTTTGTCAAAAAGGTGTCTGTGATAGCTTTTGATGACCGTTCTTGCACTTTCCAATTTTTGATCAGCTGAACTGTACCTATCTGTGACGTTTAAGCTAAGATATTCATCAAGGTGAATTGGATGAAACAATCCATAAGAAAGAATCTCCTCTGCCAGCTTGACTAAATTTTTCACCAGAACAGGACTTCTGTCCCTGATCTGATCATGCAACAAACCAAGCAAGTGCAACAATGATTCAAGAAGTTTATCTACAAAATCACGAAATCCATTTTTGCGGCAAGGGTGCAGCCTCAGGAACTTGGAGAACGGCTCAAGCACCAAACACGAGAATTCTGTGATCAAGTTTCGCACACCACTATCTTGACTAATGTCATCATATATTCTAATAACAAGTTCAAGCACCGAGCTAACAGCCACTGCCCACAGATCGAGATTTTCATTCAACAATCGGCAATTGGAGGAAAATATCAACTTTACGCAGTCAATTATAGTGTTAAATAATATCATTTCTACATTAGTAAAAGTGGGTTCCATAACATCTGTGTCTGCAATATTAAATGAATGCAACACACTCTTAGCCACACATGAAATAACCCTTAATAGATCCCGCGATAATCTTAATGAAACATGCAGCCTTTCAGACTCTTTCAAGCAAAACTTGAGTATCTCCCAGCATCTACAATCCATGAAAAAATGTGGCCCCTCGGACTCCTTTTCTCCAGCCCTAATTTTCTTGGCAGAGGTAATCAACAATGACTGAATCCGATCACTAATGCGCTCTATTAATCTTGAAATACTCAATGTATTGGACTCCTTCTTGGAGTCATCATCTCCTTTACCGGCCCTCGAATTCACAAACTCAAACATTAACTCCACCTTCCTGCATTTAAAACATTGTATTGGTTTAACACTATCCATATTCCTCTGAAACATATTCCAAAGACCATGATTGCAATCGACCAAGGCGAATCAAGCAATCCACACATTTTAACAATAAAACCTAAATTTAAGCTCTCTCACCATGCTAGAGGCTCTAAATTTTTAACCCCCAATAATCTCACTTGTTCATAGTGTAAACAATAAAATTTCCCAATTACTTATTCATAACTTAAGCAATAAAATTGATAAAAAATAGCAAATTTGAATAACACCCAGAAATTTCATTCATTAGTTAAAATTTTCCAATTACTTATTCATAGTGTAAACAAAAATTAAATAAAACCCAGAAAACCCATTTCAAAACCCAGTAAATTACACCTAATAAACAACATAATCTACAAAAATTAAACATAACCCAGTTCATAAATTCAACAACATAAGATAAAATTAGCAAAATCTTACTTATGTTCATTGAGTTCATTGTTTTGAATTGCCAAAGCGAGGTCTAAATTCCTCCATAAGTGGGGCCCTCCAAAAATCCCCGGAATTTGTTCCTCCACCTCCATTTTTTCCAGCTTCTGTGTCTCTTCAACTGCACATTGTTCTTCATCTTTTGTATCATTTAATTTGCGAGCTGTTTTAGAGGGTTTTGGTAAGTCTTGGGAAGTTGCGAGTTTCCTCTTTTTCTTCTTCATTGAATCGTTTTTAATTGATGTTGAGCCAGCCATGGTAGAGGGACTGCAAGGTTGCAAAGTATTAGCTCGGGGGTGGGAACTGAGGAAAGGGTTTTACAGGGTTTTAACAAAGAACAAAAAGAGGAAATTGGTCGATTAATGGAAAAATTCATGGAAATACCACCTTTGCGCCATTTGTTTTTAATAATCTCATTTTTGGATTATTTTTTAATAATCCGACCTTTACTCCCAATTCTTTTTTAATGGTCTCAATCATAACAGGTTACATGACACGTGGCGGCCTGTAATTAGTCAGAAAAAAGTTAAAAAAAATCATAGAAAACAAAAATAAAAAAAATAAATAAATAAATGTGTGTGCTCGCCCAGCCACCAGCCCAGGCCAGTCCCCCTGCCGCCGGTACCTGCTCCGGCAGACGCGCCGGCGGCCGTCGGCCTCCCTCCTCTTCCCTCAGCCCCTGCTCTTGCCCTACCATCACCAGCAGCACCGAACCACCCTCGCATCTCCCTCACTCACAACCCTACTCCCTCACTACCACCACAACAGCCACAATTAGCACCACCTCACGCCACCCAACAAACAATCGCAGCGGTGGATGTTTTAGGGTGGTTTCGGGGATGCGGTTTTTGCGGGTTAGGGTGGTTTCGGGGCTGCGGTTTTCGCGGGTTAGGGTTCGTTTGGATGGGTGGGGCGACGGTTAAGGGGAGGTCGGAGTAATAAGGGGTGGTTCGCCCGGCGGTGGGTGAGTTGGACGTCGGCCGGACGATTTCTGGGCTGGGGGAGAGGGGAGCTGCGTGAAGGGGAGGAGGAGAGGGAATGGTGGCAGGGGCGGTGGGGAGTATTTTTTTCCGTTTTTTTTTTTGTAAAAATTATCAAAATTTTAAAATTAAAAAAAAATTGTTTTTCTATTTTTAATTTAAAAATTTAGACAAATTGCATAGTGACACGTGTATTTAAAACCAAAAAAAAAAATAAAATTGACTGGTTTAACCGGTTTTTGGTCAAATGGGACCATTAAAAAAGAATTGGGGGTAAAGGTCGGATTATTAAAAAATAATCCAAATGTGGGATTATTCTCATGACTTTTTCCCAATTAATTAATTATTAAATTCACATAATTAATCCCAACTATTAATAGTGTTCCCAAATTAATCCCAACTATTAGGGGTGAAAGTAAATCGGATTAAAACCAAACCGAACCAAAAATCAAACCGAATTAGTAATTCGATTTGAATGTATTTGAAATTCGGATTGGATCGGTTTGGAAAAATTAAAAAATATGGATTACGGTTTGGAATTTTAAAAAACCGAATTATAAACTGAAATTTCGATCTATTACATTAAGCCTATTTTCTTTTACAAAGTATCTCAACCCCTTTGCCCTTTCATGTATAAACCAAAATATAAGATCCTAATTCTCAATTCTCCAATTTCAATATCTCTCTCTCACAAAGAATGTAGTTAACAAGAAAAAGTTCAACGATTGTATGAATTTATTAGGTGAAGTTCAGATTTCGAGTTTGAATGTTGTGAAAGAATAGATCAAATTTCGGTTTGGATTGGATTCTAATTAGCAAAATCGAATTGGTTTGGTTTGGATTGGATTGGATCGAATTTTAATTCGGTTTGGATTCGGTTTGAGAAATCCAAAACCGAATTAATTCGGATTGGATTCGGTTTTGGCTATAATCCAAACCGCAAACCGAACTTTTACCCCTACCAACTATGGGTTATTATGGAATTATCCCAAGTATGAAATGTGTCTTCAAAAAAATGATCTGGTATGAATTGTAACCGGTTAAGTAGGTAAAGTTTTATTTTAAATATCACTCTTTCTCCTCCCCTTGCCCAGCTCCATAACCACCGGTCCACCACTCCTGGTCTGCTCCCCTCCACCACCCAGCCACCTACGTACGTGCACCATTCTTTTGGTTGCCCTCAATCTCTCCTTCGCTGCCTCTCTCCTCCTCAATGCCATTGTTGACCACTGTTGACCTCGGCGTATTACTACTCCTTTCGCTCAACACCGATCAAGTTCAGCTCCTCCCTCATATCTCCATTGCAATCTCACTCCCCTGCTTCATCTTGCCCCTAATTTCTCTCCTCTTCATTCAAAACTAATGATTGTTGTCTTTTTCATTTAAAATCAATGGACAAACTACAATAATTTATATAATGAACAATCATAAACGACATTCATAGTATAAGTAGTATAGATAGGTTATAGGTTGTAGGTTGTATTGGAATTTCTCACATTGCTGTTAAAGTTCAATCAACAATGTAAGCTCTTCTCAATCACAATATGCCACCTCATCCAAATAACCTGTTAAATAGGTCACAAAGCAATTTTAGAAGACACCCTCAATAGTTTGGATTAGAATAATCCATAACTGGGATTAATATGAGAAGACATCCAATAGTTAGGATTAATGGTATGAATTTTTCCTTAAAATAGTACTCGTAATACATGCAAAATCGCTATATTATAAACGGGGGCTTAAGAGTAAAGGGGGAGGTAAGGGAGTCCATCTAATATGGTTGGTGGGGCTCGAATTCGTGAAAGTCACAAGGTGAGTTCCCTATCAACTCAATCCCCATCAACTCAATCAAGGTTGCTTGGTTAAAAAAAAAATCTTTTAAATTAAGGTGAAGGACCTTACTAAACCGACACTTCACATGTTAAGTCAACCAACTTTGCAAATCAGCGCTCGAGAGTTGAGGGGAGGTAAGGAAATCCCCTTACTCCCAAGCATAGAATGTTTTTTTAAAATGGAGTGATTTCTTGTGAATAGATAAGTAAAAAAAAAATACAAATTTATCAATTTTTTTTTTTTGAGGGTTTAAAATAAGTTTATCACAATTAATCTATCTATCTATCTATAACTATATACTAAAGTCGAAACCAGGAATGACACATGTCATCTTCTGGTTAAAAATTTTTCCTCCAAAAGTTTTAGTTTTTTTTTTTTTTTTTTTTTTTTTTTTTTTTTTTTTTTTTTTAACCTTAACTATTATTAGGAATAACCTTAATCCTTTAAAGAATAACTATTAATTTGTCGTTAGTTTGAATATTATTTAAATGTGCAATTTCTTATATATTCATGATTACATAATATAAAAACTAATATGATTAGTTTAATACATTATCAGTTTTTTGTAAAATAAAATTTATTATTTAGAAAATTAATAATTTTTATAGTATAAAAGATAACTTTAAATACCTTAAACATAACTTTTAACCGTCTTACAATAAATTAATGTGCAACCGCTTTTTTAAACAGTACGACTTGTAAAAGTCTAAAGCACTTCTTATAAGTATTTTATTGGGTGAATTTCCAAGCAACCACGCCAAGCTTGTGTTCCATCGATTATGATTCATGAGTTACATCTTACATGACCTAAAAGTCCTGATGAGTTAAACCGCCGTTAGTTATACTGTAATAGTCAGCTTCCAGACACTGAAAATTGTTGCTTTCCTCTGTTTCATTTTTTTCTTTTCAATTATACGTTGCTCCCCTCTTTCTCTCTCTACTCCATTGAAGCTTACTCTCAGCTCTCTCTCCTCCATTGAAGCAGCTTCTCAGGTAAGATTTTTTTTTTTTTTTTTTTTTTTTTTTTTTTAATTTTACACCATCTTCTTCTAAGGTAGATTTATTAATTGAACTATAAATTAGAATTACCGAAGTTTTGAAAAAATAAAAGTAGCAACTTTGTTGCTAGAATTTTACTGTGTGCAATTTATGTTGATTGAGTCAAATTTGGTTACTGATGTGTTGCAGAACCCTTAAATTTTAATGGGGATTTTGTGCAATTGGTATTTCAGATGGAGGGTGAGAATTGACAATTGAAAATGGGTGATTATGGAATGGAAGATTACAAGAATCGAGTTGATGTTGTGTTGTCACAAGTCAATACGGTGAGTTTGCTTCTGAAATTGGAGTTGTGCTGTTTGTTTGGTGCATTGCTAGTTTAGAGGCCTATAGTCCTTCAATAATGCTAGCTGGAACGGGAACGGATACTTATCCCTTCGATCATTTAAAGTAAAAGAAAATTTGTAAAGTGTTTTTAGCACGAATATAGCATTATAAGCATGTCCAATGTTGTTGCATTTCAGTATGATTAACAATGCATCTATACATGACATGGCAATTCTACCCTTGGTTGAAAGAGCTTGTTTGTTCGTAACAATAACAATAAAAATCCGTGTGGTATAAGGTAAATGAACTAAGTAGAAGTATGTTTGTGTGTAATTTGATGCAAAGTTACCCATGTCAATATCTGTTGCATATTGTAGTGCATTTGCATCAGCAATTAGTAATCTTAGGGATGTGATATGAGTGACGCCTTGGCTTTTGGCCTTGTCTGGCTGGCAGCAAAGCGCAAGTCCTAGCCTCCTAGGCCCTAGGCCCTTGGTCTTGAATTTCATGCTTAATAATTTTAGTACCTAAGGCATGTTGCTACCTTTGTTTAGCCAAATATAGGTGTTTTTAGGGATTAAGGGGACGAATCAAAGTGACATAGGCTGAATCTTGGTGGGTTGTGGTCAAAAGGCAAATCTGCCACTTACAATACCCCATCGTGTTGAGTTGTTTATGAAGGATTCGACCCGCTGCTCAGAAGGAATTGTAATTCAATGCAGCCCTTGCGGTGAGCTTAGCTCATGGTAGGGGTCAAAGCCCCTACAATAGGACTTGTACTTCAATGCAAGTGTCGCCTTTGGCCTAGGATTTTGACCTAGAGGTGTTCAGTGATCGAGCATGCTTTCTTTGTTGCAAGTCTGTTACACACTAAAATATATTTCCGATGTTAACTGTCTTGCAGACCAGTCTGGGAGTGTTTTTTTCTTTATCGTCAATGTGTATTTATTATCTGTATGAGGTATAATAACATGAGTTATATGTATGCAGATCGAGAAAAAAGTTTGTGAGGTTGAGCAGTTCTACCTGAACACCAGTAAAAAGCAAGCGAATAGCTCAAAAGGTGGCTCAGCTTCTAAGGAAAAAGACAAGGATAAAGAGAGACTTGTTGCTCAAGCCAAAAAGCAGCAGCAGGATGCAACAGGCAAGGAAACGGCTGTGTCAAAGAGAATGCAGGAGCTGATACGTCAGTTTGGCAAAACATTAAATCAGGTATATGTTGTTATATTTCTGCTTATGTGTATACTTGTTCAAATAATATTTTTTACGAGTAAATATTGGAAACAGTTTTGTACTTCTGTGAGTTGCATCCTCAAGTAATATTTCTTTGGTATGTACCTTTCACTTTTGGCTATTGTTGTCTACTTTTCATGAGGTTATTGATGCACTGCAAATATGGCAAAGTATAAACGAGTGTCCTCTATAAACCATGGTTTGCTTATGCTTTTTAGGTATGAAGTGTATTTGGGGTGATAATGGGCATATAAATTCTTCAATAGAGGGATACAAATCCTCTGAATCTCTGATAGCTGTTCTTCTCCAATTATTCTGAACACTAGATATTCGTGTATTCACTTGATTGAAGTCAAGAACTATTTGCGTATATATTGTTTTCTCCAGAATCTTCTTCACTTGTCTTGAATATGTTATTGTCATGAAATGTGAGTTATGAATTGGTACTCTTGTGGTAGCGTAATGGCTCTGAATTAGCTGAACATGGACCTGTTTAGATGAGAAATATAGGACTTTTAAGCTCTTTTTGTGAATGTTTGGGGGTGGGGAGGGTCTGGGTCTCCCCTCACAATAAGTCATCTGTGAATGGGAGTGATTGTTTTGTTAGTGGTTAAGTAGGAGAGTAAGTCCTCTGGATTAAGGTGAGAGACAGGACTTGTATTGTTCTTAAATTCGTAATTGAGACATCTAAGTTTAACTCATTTCTCTCAAATTCTGGTGTCTGGACTCTGGAATTAAGTTGGCAGTTCTCTTGTGGCCAACCAAAAACTGAGCTGCAAATTCAAAAGCCTACCTAAATCTTGTTGATTTCAACAATAAAAAAAATGCTACAAGTGTGTTGAACGATAGCCTTTGTGCATAAGATTCACCTAGGTGTTTGTGGTACTTTCTAGAAGAGAGAGGAGAGACCACAGAAAACATAAGGAGGCATTCAGCTGACAGTGCTGGATAAGTGGGCTGGTTCTCAGTTGAGCCAATTAAACAATCTGATTATTTCCACTTTCCAAACTACCAACCACAGTATCAAACTAGCGCAGGAACCTTTGGAATGATCTCGTTAAAATCTCTCAAGCTAATTTCTTTGAAGTTCTTAAGAAGTTGTAGGTTATTGTATATTAGAGTTATCAAGGAGAAATAAGGTCTCCTTAAACATCATTACTTGTATGCTGATTAAGGGAAAGGTTGTTGCAGAAGATGTAGCTTACCATCTTACATGTATTACAAAGTTAGTGAAGCTTGTAGTATCTAACCTATATTGCCGTTGAGCTCTCCAAATCTCCACTATTGCTAAACACATACTTCCTCCGCTTTTATTTAGATGAAACACTTCTTGTTTCTTGCCTATGCATATCTTCAGTCGCTAATATCCTTGATTGTCAACAAGTAAAAGTTAACAAAAAAAAAGAAAATTGATATTTCAAAAGTATAAAATAAGACGAATCTAACCAAACTCCACATGATTATGTTTTTCCGTATGAATATAGTGTGTAAATTTAGAAATGTTTCATCTAAAAAGAATCGGAATAAGTATATCTGATTTGTAGAGTTTGCTTCAGTTATGCAGTGCCAAAAAGGTGCTTGGTATGGGAAAGAAGGGTGAAGTAGTTTTGGTTTGCTGAAATGTCTAGGATGTGTCCTTCAGCAATTTGGTTGTGCATGTGACGAGGAGAAAACATTGACATTAGGTTGAATTCTTCACTTATTAGTGCTGCCTGCACTACTTTTTTCCTGATAAGATGTTTGCTGTGCTTTGTACATGTGGTCCTCCTCAATTGCTACCCAGGGCTGGATACATGGTGCTGTGGTTGTCCTTGTTCTTATGCTCTTGGTCAATTGCCGCAATCTATGGAATCGTACTTCAATTTGAATAATTGTCCTGGTAATCCACATTTTTTCCCTTTGCTTTTTAGATCACTCAACACAAGTGGGCATGGCCTTTTATGGAACCTGTAGACGTCAAAGGCCTTGGTTTGAATGATTACTATGAGGTAAAATTAAATCCTTTCACTTTATTCACTTCTTTAATTCTTTTCATTGTATACTGTGAACACTTCTTTGTTCTTCCTGTAACCTTTCTGCTTAATCTTTACTGGTCAAAGTTTGATACTGTTATCCGTTAATTTGTTAGAAGTTGTAAGAATATTATTATTATATTTGTCTTCGTATCTTCCCTCACTTCTTTCTAATGTATGACTGGAGAAATTGACTGTCAAAGTTCCATCTTGGAGAGCACAAAATGTCAAATAGGAAGTTAGAATATGTTTAATGGACAATGATATTGCTTTACCTAAGATTGTTGTGAAACCTTTGCGGACTGTTCCTCCAACTTATCTGCTTTTGTGTGCCTTTTGAGTTATTTAGCTGCTAGAAATTTTCTACTCAACTTTTCTGTTTCTACCAGATTATTGAAAAACCTATGGATTTCAGTACGATAAAGAAACAAATGGAAGCTAAGGATGATAGTGGATATAAACATGTAAGGGAGATCTGTGCAGATGTGAGGTTGGTTTTCAAGAATGCGATGAAATATAATGACGAAAAGAATGATTTCCATGTCATGGCAAGGACCTTGTTGGCAAAGTTTGAAGAGAAGTGGCTACAGTTTTTGCCTAAAGTTGCAGAAGAGGTGAGATTCCGTTGATCATTAGGCCATTCTGTGTGATCACAGTTGTTAGCTGTATAAGAGTTTTGTCATATTTTATCATTCTTTCACCTTTAAAAAAGGCAGGTTGCTGTTGCAGGAAAAAAGACGAGAAGAAGAGGAGGCTGATGTACAGTTTAGCATGCAGCTAGCTCAAGAGGCTACTTATGCCAAAATGGCTAGGGAAATAAGCACTGAGGTTTGTTCCTTTCTACGGAATGAATGGACTGTTTCTCTGAAACTTTTAGAATATCTTTAGCAATCATCCTGGCAATGTGCCTGTCAAACATGATGCATGAGATCACTAAGGTAAAAATAATGTATACGTTTTATTTTATAATTATAACAGAAATACTTTCTGAAAGCATTGCAAACTACTCAAAATTTGATGCCCAAAGTACTTTCAAAATGAATGGACTATAAGTATTTCATTTAAGAAGCCTGAATACTTTTTAGTACTAACCCAGGTAAGTCGCACTTAAAGCAAATTACCCTATATGAATATGCAGAGGATGTCCATACTGTTTCTTATATGTCATAATTCAAAATGACTCATGATCTTTTGGTTGATTTGAAATTTTCTCATATAGAATATAACCTGAACTCTCTCTTCAAACAGCTATATAAAATGATCTCTTTCTGTGTCTTTCTGTTTGATTTCTGGTTGTTTCCTAGCTGGAATTGACTTTGAATTAAGCTTCACCTGAACAAATGGTTTGCGTTTCTGAAGATTATTTTTCCAACTATGATTTCAGAAGTCCATAATTACCTTGTGAATCAATGACTCATATAACTTGATGCAGCTAAATAAATTTCGCAATCACTGTTTTGACATTACAAGACTAGTTATCCCTGAAACACCATGTTTACTTTTAATTTGTCTGTAATAATGATTAGTGTATAACAAATCTGAAATTCTCTGAAACTCTCGGGTTATTCTTTTGTATAGTAAATTAACTGTTGTTTGGCTTATTGTCAAATATCTTATTAATAGAAAGTTTATCAGGGTAAATGGCTCTTATAACTTTAACCATTTTCCCTCCAGGCTATGTTCATGCATTTGTTGTTATCCATTGTACAATGTTATTCTATGGGTTAATAATTTTAGATATGTATTTTACCCTTATCTTTCCTCTTAATCTTATTTTCAGCTTTTTGAGGCAGACATTCACCTTGAAGATCTTAGGGAACAACTGGTTCAAAGGTGCAGGTAAATGATGATTGTCCTATCATGTATCGATTGTAGTTGCTTAACCTATTATTGTTTTATTACTACTAGTCCTAGCAAGGTGTATCTGATTCAAACCCAAGTTTTACCCAAAATTACATGACCTTATTCTAGTCCAAACTGAGATTGATCCAACCCAATGTAAAAATTAATGTCTAATTGACAAAAGACATGAAGATATTCCAATCTGAATCAATCCAAAACCAAACTAAATGACTAATCACTCAAACTTGCTGATTATGACCAAATTACACCCAATCCAATGACTTGTTTGCAACCTCTAATTAGAGTGTGGTTCATTATTTTAAGGATATTTTGGATTTTAACACCTTACAAAAGGCTGAAAATGTTTTTTAACACCCCCCAAAAAAAAACTTTTATTTTAACACCTCCCAAAAATATAAAAGTTGGAAGTTAACACCAAAATCCATCTTCCGTTAACAGAACTGTTAGTGGGGCCCACCCCAACGGATATATTTTTAAAAGATCTGTATATAAGAACCATTCTTCCACGATTCTTGCACGATATATAAGAACCATTCTTGCACGATTCTCCCCCAATGAACGAAATTGTTGTTCTTATTGAATAGCAGCAGCGCATTGCATTGTTGCACGATACTTGAAACAATTCTTTCACGATTCTTCCACGATTTTTGAGAAGAGGAACAGATTGAAGCTGCTGAAACAGGTGAGTGCGGTCAATTGTTCGGTTGTTTGGTAATTATGGTTTAAATTCTCTTCAATTATTATTTGCAATTGTTTCGTACTCAGATTAATGGTTGGATTATGTTATGTACGCATCTAAATGCCCAATTGTTCATAATAAAACTAGCAAGTTACATAACCAGTCATGAGTACATAATAAAAGTTTGAAATTGTTCAACAGACATAATGTTTGATATCCAGCATGAGTACATCACTGAGTAAGGTTGTTGAGGGATTGCAGCCTGGCCCTTGTTACAACACCTGTGGCTGTTGTAGGCTGACTTGAGGAAGACCTTGTCTTTCTTTTTGGTTGGCTTGAGGCAGGCTGACTTGAGGAAGGCTGAGCTGAGGATGGCTGACTAGAGGATGGCTGAGCTGAGGAATGCTTAGCTGAGGAAGACTGTGGCTGTGGGCGCTTGCTGAATGGCAGACAACCTTCTTGCTCTTGAGGAAACTTTTTGTTTCCTATGCTGTTTGGTCCAGCCCCAATTGCACTCTATGACATGCATATAAAAATAAAAAGTCAATGGAAAAGACACATACATATATAAAACAAAGGGGGAGTTGGTGTAATGCTTGTGTTACCTTTTTAGCAGCCCTAATCTCTTTCTTCTTCCTCTCCTCCACCATCCAAGGAGTGTTCAGTGGGGGTCTGCCTGCTGACTTTATCAGCTCTGTAGCTGGTGCAGCAGGTACTTTGCAAGTCTTGGCATAATGCCTATATCCCCCACAGTTGCTGCATTGCTTCTTCCTCTTGGTACTTGCCTGACCACCTGAAGAAGAACATTCTCCTGGCTCAAGCTTCCTTTTTTTGCTCTTTGGTCTCCCAGGTTGCACCTTAACAGAAGGGGGTAGTGGTTCCCTCATTCTGACTGTCTCCCAGTGCTTTGGGCCAGGCATTGGTTGGACAGCTGGTTCATAAGCAGACCTGTATGTGTCCATGGTATAGTATGGGTCAACAACAGCCTCTATGTCACCCCTCATATCCAATATGCAGGCATAAGCATGAACACATGGAATGCCAGTGAGTTCCCAATGGTAACATGTGCAGGTCTCCTTGTCCAAATCAACCAACACCTGGTCATCCTTCAGCTGCACCTCAAATGTATTCCCTCTGGATGGCTGCACCACACAGGACCTAGCCACAAAGTCTATCCTCCCCAGAACATGCCTCACATATGGCACTAAGTTGTGTGTAATTGTTTTTGAATCCTCCCACTTTTCATTATTCCTGTTCATAATATACCTCCTCATCCATTCCATTTGGGTGAGGATAGGTTTATCTCTGGCGGCCTAATGACTGCATTGAAAGTCTCACACATGTTGTTCAACAACATGTTGGACTTGCAGTTTGGTGTGAATGCATGTCTAGACCAATGGTGGGGAGGAATGTTGATTAAATACTCATATGCCTCTTCATCGAGGAATTTGATAGACTCCATGGCAATTTCATGCTCAAACTGACATATAAAAGCATACCAGAAATCACACCAAGCATATACAAGCTAACCAATATAAAAACACACCAACAGTCATATAAAAGCATAGGCTAGCTTCAACAATCAATAAACTTACAATGGTGGTGGCCCTAGCTGCTCTCCAAAACAGCTCCTTAAAGGTTGATCCAGTGAAGTTGAGCTTGAAGTTAGCCCAAATATGCCTCACACAAAACCTTTGCTCAGCTTTGGGAATAACATCAGCCATTGCTTTAATCAAACCCTACCAAATGCAGACAAAAGTATAATCATCAGTCAATCACATACATACACATGAAAACTTAGAAATTGAACCTAAATAGTTAAGAGGGAAACAGAAGCATTACCTTTTGCCTGTCAGACATGATGGTCAGCCCAGCTCCTTGATCATGTGTGAACATTGACATAAGGGATTCCAAGAACCAACCCCAAGTTTCCTGGTTTTCAATCTCCACTGTGGCCCAAGCTAGAGGAAACAAGTTGTTATTCCCATCCTTAGCAACTGCCACCAGAATTTGCCCAGGAAAGGCACCCTTGAGGTGACAACCATCCAACCCTATTAAAGGCCTACAACCCTTTGCAAATCCATCTCTCAATGGCCTTAAACAGATGAACATCCTCATGAACAATGGTGGCTCTGGCCTGTCAATACCATCAACAACAACATTGCACCCTGAACCAGGGTTGTACTTCATCACAGCTTTCCCATAATCCCACACCCTAGCATACTGCTCCCTAGCTGAACCAAATATCAGTAGTTTTGCCCTACACCTAGCTAGCCATGCCTTATAGTAACTCACATCAACTCCTAAATCATTCAAAATCCTAGCCCTAATCTCCTTAATTCTCCAACCAGGGTTACTCCTAAACTCTTCTAAATACCTCTCTGCTATGTATTCAGCAGTAAGCATCTTGTTCTTCTTTACTCTGAAGCAGGAATGGTCTAAATTCAAGGTTTTGATTTGCCAAGTTTGCTGCTTAACAAGTTTTGATGCAAACACCTTGAACTGACACTTTACCCCCCCCACACATGTACAAGCAGGCATTCTACAAGTGTAGCTATTGAACTCACAGCCACATCTATATCTACACTGAACTGTAATCCTTTTACTGTCATTATGCAAGTAGTAGAACTCATACCTGTTTTGAATGGCATGAAGTCTTAAGGCCCTCCTCAAGACTGAAGCATTACTGAATTTCTGATTTAACTTCAACTTGATTGGGTTGTCAAAGTCCACATCAGCATTAAACCAAGGAGCATAGTCCTGTTCCTCATCAGATCCACACAAACTCCTTGAATCATCTGAATCAGCATCACTTTCTGGATTCACCTTCGGTTTTCCAACATCCAAATCATTTCTCAACTCTACTCTCTTATCTTTGCCAACCCTGTCATCTACTGCACTCTCCAAACCTTTCCTAAGGCTCTTGTTCACTTTGGCCAAGATCTCCTTTGACCCTTCAATATACCATTCCTCATCCCCTTCATCAAATTCTTCTTCACCAGGTTCCCAATCTTGTCCCTCATCACTCAAATCTGAACTTGAATAACCAGATCCTTCACATCCATCATCCTTTTCTTCATCAAACCTCAACACTTTAGCATTAGCTGAGGCTTTCCTAGGTGGACTCTCCTCCCTTTGTTCAGTTTCTGTCTTCTTAAACCTAGGGCTCCTCCTAATAGTCGATGTATTTGAACTTTCTACCTTCTTATCCTTTTTTTTTGTCTTTGCAGGATTGGGTTGGGCCTCTTGTATGGGCTGACTAGGAGCTTCTGTTGTTACAAAAACCTCAACATACCCCTCTTCATTTACTGTCTCCAAAAGGCCCTTAACCTCTTCACTGTTAACTAGTTCCCTTTTCCCAGTGTTAAAGGTTTTCCCCTTCTGCCTATACCAACAGCTGTAATGCATAGGCACATCCATATCACCATTAACAAAACCATGAATTGCAGCTGTTCTAATCAAATGCACATCCAACTTAGATACTTGAACCTTCCTCTTCCAGTAACACCAACCACCACACCAATACAGCAGCTGCCTGTTTTTGGTTACTCTTTTAGGGACAAAAGCACCTCCCACTCTAAGGCAGATGTCAACCAAACTATCCTTGTCACCCATTATCTACCCACCAGTGAAAAACATATAAAACATATTAAAAGCCATGTAACTATACATGCACAATACGAATAAACAAATCCATCACAGCCACACAAACAAACACATAAAAAAATTGAAAATAAACATATACAAGCCAATGTAGGTGCTCAGTAACATAAATTAATCAACAAACCACACTTGCTAGTTTAATTAACAATAAACCACCTTAATTAATCTCTACTTTCAATTACGAAATCCAATTAACCTAAGTCGCATAGTCAGTTACAGAAATTGATTTATCAAGGCTTTCCTACTGTGGTCCCAAAATTTACCCTAATTACCCAATTATTGCAAGGTTTACAGCAATGAAGCACCAGTAATTGACGAAATTGCTATCAAAGGAGAGCAATTTTACCTTATTTTCTGTGAATTTCAAGCGGCTTTCGCACTTTTGTAGTTGAAGAAGATGATGAAGAAACCCTCCTGAGCTTATCTTCTCCAACGTTGACACCACCCTACACTCCACTTCTCAGCCAAGATCTCCTTTGGTTCAAAAGCGAAATCAATGAAGGTTCAGAAAGAATTCAATGCAGAAGGTTGCTGCGAATTCAATGAAGAAAGAAGTTTCGTGTTTTGCTGGGTGAAAATTGAAGTTCAAGCCAATTTGTGGGACCCACGTTAAATTTCCGTGACGGAAATCGTTAACTGGTGTTAACTTCCAACTTTTATATTTTTGGGAGGTGTTAAAATAAAAGTTTTTTTTTGGGGGGTGTTAAAAAACATTTTCAGCCTTTTGTAAGGTGTTAAAATCCAAAATATCCTTATTTTAATAATTATTTTGGTTCTTTGGATGAACATTGGCCTATGTGCTCTCTGCAATTTTTAATCTGAATTTGAACCATCAAATTTCAGGAAAATGTCAACCGAAGAGAAAAGGCAGCTTGGCACAGCCCTCACAAGACTATCCACCGATGACCTCAGTGGGGCTTTAGAGATTGTTGCCCTGAGCAATCCTGGGTTCGTAGCAAATGCTGAGGAGGTGGACCTCGATATAGACGCTCAGGTACCCTTTTCCTTATCTAGTTTGATCAGGATATATTGTCTGCCCTACAGGCTAGCGTCTTGTCAGATAAATTTAAGATTTTTTACATTTGACATGGCTTTTGGTTGCACAGAGTGAATCTACATTATGGAGGCTAAAATTCTTTGTAAAAGACGCGCTGCAAGCTCAAGGCAAGCCTGCAGCAAGCATGGGTGGCAACAATAACGATAACAATGAAAACACTATTAATAATTCTAAACGAAAAAGGGAGGCCTGCGACACCATTACCAAGACTGCCAAAAAGAAGAGTAAAAAGGTAGCATCTTGATTGTTGTAACTTGTAACAATGTAGAATAGATGAATTAAGCTCTGTAAGATCTGTAACTATAGTATTATCTTGAAAGAAATATCCCATTTTCTTAAAAAAAATTATGACTTCATTCCCAGTTTGGTGCTGTATAATTGACTGTTTTGATGTAAGATGTAGTCTGAACTAGGAAGTCAGTTTTAGAAGAGCAGTGAGTGATTGGATTTCTTACTGTAACAAGATGACGTTTCACCAAACCTTTGCCAAAGTGCCCTACTGGGAACATAACTGAAACTCAAGGTTTGAATTTCAGAAAGTTATCAACAGCCCTCAGATACTATGTGGAAAAAAATGCTGTCGAAAATGAAACTGGAACTCAGAGCGTATGGAGTATATCCCTTGAGTGGTTATGCTTATGTGTGGAAGGTTCTTCAAGGGATTCATTGGCGAACTCTGGTAGGCAGCAGGAAGGCAGGAACCTGCTGATCCATACTGACATCTTCATGACAACACCATTATTTTCCTATAATTAATCTTGACATATTGTAAAAATATTGCAAATTAGACGGTGCTCTTGGGTGCACCCGACTATAATGACACCTTTTATTCTTTAGGGTTGACCTATATGCTCTTTGTATTTGAAATATATGTTATTAAACTAATCCGTACTTGTATATATGTTTTAATTTTGTGTTTTTTGTTTTTTTTTTCTTTTTTTTTCCTAGCCTTTATGATCATTGCTTTTTATTCATGTTCTTTTTTTAAAGCAATTTTATTCATGTTCTTTGAAAAAAGCATTTATGTTATTCGAGTGCACAAATTAAATGACAAAAATTTATCAATATCTCCTTGTCAAAAAAGGAAAAAAAAACTGTTAAAATAAATGTCTAACTTTGACTTTTATATTAGTCATATATACCATTTTGATCAATGTTTGTCATAAAATACATGATTAAGCATGTCATATAATATTGTTGAATGTGTTCGTCAAAGTGAGAAATTTATTTCGAAACCAAGGGAGTAATTCAAGGATGAATTACCAACCAATGACGCTGAGCCTTTTCTACTTGCTAGTCGTGAGGCAGAGGTGTAAAATAGAGCGCCGTAAGCATTACTGTACATAGTCAATGCAACTACCAGACACTGAGAATTGCTGCACTTTACTCCGCATCATGCAGCAGCTATACATAGCTATCTATCTCACGTCAGAATGTCAGATATTATGTATTGGATCCAATGACCCGTACACGTGCGTGTTTCCAGCTGCAAATATACTCCAATTCTCAGTTTTTTTTTTTTTTTTTTTAATTATTAAATTAATGATTTTAACTTTGTAATTAATAAGTAAAAAAACATAAAATTAAAAAAGAAAAGGACAGTACTAATGTAATTGGTATCAAACACACATGCATCTTGCTTTTCTCCTAAACCCATCTTACCTTTTATAATACTCGTACGTAATTTCCTAATCAACCAATTTGTCCTTATCTTTTTCCCAAAATGAAAAATAAACCTAAAAAGATTGTTGCCTCGTTTAATTAAAGAAAGATTCTATATTCTTAATGGTCAATATGCTTACAACAAATGCGGGGTTTGTCAACTGATAATTTTTAATGGGAATTTATTTTAACTTTTGATTTTGTTTTTTAAATATTATTTTTTATTTATAAGATATTCTCTTATAAATGTTAATTTACTGTTTATAAAGATTGTTTGGTGAGAGTGAGAGATAGCAGCTCCATCTGACTGGTCATTCACTCCAATATCGCCGACATTCTAGGACATAAGAAAACACAAGTCAAATACAATTTCTAGCAACATGAAGCAGTAACAAACTGATGGAATTGGTGATTATTAGAGTGCTTAAACACTAACAATTAGCAATTAAAGCAACAAACTAGTGAGTCATAACAAATTAACAAGAAAATATGGGTAGAAATTAGTATTGGGCTAGGCTATAAATTGGTTATGGGCCATAATTCGGTTTAGATTTCGATTTTTGGTTTTTCAAACCTTAAAACCGAAACCAAACCATATTAATTTATAATTCGGTTTGATTCGATTTAAACCGCATTAGTTTCACCCCTAAATCATCATATTTGAATTTCCATGTCTTTTTGTTTTTGAGAAAGAATTTCCATGTTTGTTAGACACAATAAGTCAACAAAATCTTTTATTTTGAAATTAAGTCAATTAATTATATCTTTATTGTGTCAAAAATTATATCTTTATTAACCATATTTTGCCAATTATTAGGGAGAATCAACACTTTCAAAATTTAAACTAATTAACGCCTTCAATTTTTATTTATTTCAAAAAGTTTCAATATTATGCAGAGATTTCACTGATTAAAGACTTGCTTTTTTTTTTTTTTTTTTTCTTGAAAACAATTAAAGACTTGTGTTTAACATATACCTGATATGGTTACTCACATAGCATGAATAGCAGGTAATAACGTACCTTGAATAAGGGTTTACTTGAATTGGCAAAATCAGCATCTATACTTTAATAAACAAGATTATCCTATTAAAATAATGTACATTAGTATGTATATATAATCTTAGACGACATTTTTTTTTTTGACAATTAGACGACATTTATGCTATAAGGAGTCTTATGATTAGTTTAAATAGTAAATCATTCAATGATACAACATGCTGTCTTATAGGAATCATTGACATCATTTTGATTATCTTACAAAAACACCTTTAAATACCTTGATAGGAATCATTGACATCATTTTGATTATCTTATAGAAACACCTTGGTAATTTTTGACATTTAATTGCATGATGATAATATAGAATAGAAACTTGCAATTACCCAACAAAAATGAATATTAACATGCCATTAGAATCAACAAGTTGATGGAGAATAACCTTGATGTTGTTACCCTTAGAAAATCAAGAGATTCAAGATACATAAGTTGTACTCCGTATTATCTTTATGTATTGAGTAAGATTCAAGTTTAAGTTGTTTTTCAACATCGATGACTATAATAGTATTAATATGTAATCAAGCCAAGCTTAATATAACTTATTTATTAACATCAATCAAGAGACCTGAGACCCTTCTCACAAAGAAAACATGTAATGCAAATTATTCAGTTTACATCAGCCATCTCAATAATAACACTTTGCAAGAATCATTCAAACGAATATTTGTATTCAATACTTTGGACCACTAGGCATTTTCTTTTTTCCACGAAAAAAGCACCTTCTTTTTAAAAAATTCAATATACTAAAAATGTCCTTTTTAGCAATAATTTGTTAAACCTAGTTTTTTTTTTTCCTCACGTCACTTTCCATCTAAAGACCTCTTTATAAAAACAAATGATTTTTTTAGACTAAAGTGACACCCCTACAAATACAAATAAGTTGAGTTGATGATGCTCAGATTTGATTTGTCTTTTCGTAGACACCAAAGAGGGTGTTTGGTATGTGGGAATTGAGGATGGAATTGGGAGTTTTGATCCCAATTTTAAAAAAAAAAAATTTGTTTGTTTGATGAGAATGAGAATATTTATGGGAAAATTCCCACCATTTAAAATTACCTAGGGAGGGTAGGTAATAAATGAATGAGAATGAAAATAAGTTTAAAATGACATTTTTGTCATTAATGAAAACAATGAAAGGAAATATTAGTAAGGGTAAATTTGTAAAATTGTTATTTATTCCCTATATATTCCAATTCACTGTCCAAATAAGGTGTTGGTATATTTTCACGAATTCCCAACAATTAGTTCTCAATTAATTCTTACAACATCTCAAACGCCAGAAACTCTCTATTCACATAAACTTAGCAGCCAGTCATTTCTTGTTTTTACCGGCTTAGCCGGTCATTTCTGGGTTTTTAGTTTTTCTGATCAAACTTACTAATTACCCATTTTTGTTTATGAAAATTTTCTGGGATTTATTTTTATAAATATAATTATATAAATATAAATATCTAATAATAACCTTGTTTTGGTGGGAGCTGTCTCTTTTTTCTCTCCATTTATTGCTCAAGTGAAGTTGTGGGTTTTTATTATACGAGGTCAGTCTTAATCATCTTTATTTCAGTCATTTATTGACACTTGATTTTAATTTTTTTTTTGTTGGATATTTAAATCATGCAGAATTATTTTCTGGGTTGTGTTTATTTTGTTTCATTATGATTTGGGTATGTTGTAATTCATGATTTCATGCAAATTTTTATGTCATTTATGAATTTTCTTGTTAACAACGATGTTCAATATTATTGATCTTAAATTGTGATGCTTTTTCTACGAATTGTCAATTCAATTCTTCGTTAAAAATGATGTAAAAGTGTAAAATTTAACAAATAAATCTGAAGATGCCAGAATTTGCAAAATGAGGATTTGAATATGGCCTGTTTTGTAACTTGTATGTAAGGACTGTTCTGGGTGTTAGAGATTCATACTTATCATTTACACTTATATTAGTATTGGTTGTTCAGAAATTCGAGCCGACTTAACTAGAATCATTAACACTAATATTCGTATTGATTGTTCGAAAATTCGTGCCGACTTGACTAGAATTTGAGTGTGATTATGGTAATATGGTGTTATGATTGTTGAGGTGAAGTAATTGAATGAGCGTAAGGGCCTCACGGGAATCATACTTTAGTTAGTTGAAAATGGCGCTTACCCATAAAAAGATGGAGCTGTTGAGTGATGATTGGCTGGGGACCGGCTTATTTCAAATAAGGAAAGTAATAATTTATAACTTTGAGTAGGGGTTCACGAGGGTTATGTATCTGTTATTGAAATGGCAAACTACAATTATTGTTGTTTTGGTGCATTAGGAGCCACTAAGGCAATAGTTGTACACAATTTGAAGACAGTGTTCTTGGTTCTGATAATAGAACAACTTTGAACAGAAAAACTAAGTTAAAAGTCTTGCAGTAGCTAAGTTAAATGAAATTGTTGATCGCTGTCAGTGGAAGTTGTTTTTATGCTTTTAAAGTGGTCCATTTGTCCTGAAATCGAGAGCATCATAGGTGAAAATTTTGGTTTTAATCAACAATGTATGGCCATGTACAAATGCTCTCGAGTTCTGCTTGTGGATCACTTGTTTGAGTTTAGTTTGCTTCTGTAGTGTAGTTGATGCTTTTCATACAAGGACTGTCCTGCTTGTGGATGTGTGTAATGGTCTGTTAGAAGCTTAGATTTGAGGTATATCTTTTTGATTTCGAATGCAGGATTTCAGAGGCAAAATTCGACATCAGATTTTTTACACTTGAACCTTTTGCCTTTAAGAATGTCGGGGACGTCAGTTGAAGTTCCCCAGAATGGAAATATAAGCCCACTCGATGTTCCATATGCACTAGATGAAACTGAAGATTCTGACTTTTCAAAGCTGTTAGATAAGCCAAGGACTTTGACTTTGGAGAACAGACAAAGATCCCTTGATGAAAGGTCTCTTCATGACTTCCTTACGTCACCTCGGGTTTCAACTAAAAATGCTGATAATATTAGCCGCTTAGCAGATCATCTAGAAAATATTGTTTGCTCTGGTCGTCGATCTGGTATCAACACCCCGAGGTCTGGTTTTAGTACCCCTAGGTCACGTTCTAGCTTTGAGCCTCACCCGATTGTTGGTGAAGCCTGGGATGCATTGAGACGTTCTTTGGTTCACTTTCGTGGTCAACCTGTTGGGACTATTGCAGCCTTAGATAGTTCCGAGGAAAAAT